CAGGGGAAAATGAGCCAGAAGACATGTAGGTACAGTATTCTTTATTATAAACAATCAAAACAGTACAGCTGTGCATTTGAAGAATAGTTGAAACGTACATATTATAATTAAAAACATGACTTAAATAGAAGTAGTGTTTTTTGTTGTGTTTTACATTAATTTGAGCTCATCCTTAACATACGCCAGGATCACCTAATCTTGAATGCTGTTAAAATACAAAATTTGGAATGCATGTTATATTTTGCTGTAATTACTAAATATACATAACAAATATTCAGGGCCCATTAAAAATTAAGCAAGTGCTTAAAGTCTAGCAAGTGATTTTTATAAAATGTTTGTGTTTTTGTTATGGGGTATTCAGTTCCTTAGAAGACAACATAAAAGGAATTTAAATGTTACATTGTATTCCAACTTTTCCAGACTTATACGGAGTATAAACAAAATAAAACATACAGTCAGTGTGTTGAACAGTGACATTGTTATAGTTCCAAAGCACAGGCAGATATTATTATTATTTTTTTAGTTATCTTCTTTATTATTACAACTGAAAATAAAGCACACTTACTTGGTATAGGACTTAAATGTTTTTAAATATGTCAAATTCTTCACTCGGCATGCTTTTATGATTGCAATGTACCCCTCAATAAAACAAGTGAAGTAGATGTGACTTCTGGTAGTCTGACATTTTGAATCTAGCTTAATATCTATTAAAATATCACCTAACACTTTTCACATCTCAATTTTTTAACAAGAAAAAAACACACCAAAAAACAAAACAAAACAAAATAGGGTTGAACAACAGGATAAACTTCCGTCTTGTGATACAGAGAATGTTATTATTCTTTATGTATAAACTTTTTCCATGGCAACGTTGAACATGCTTAGCATCAACTGATGCATTTACTGGCTTAGCATGTCCACTTTGCTACTTATCCTATAAAAGAATGCTATTACTTTTTTTGTATTGTCTACTTCAAGGAATGACTGCAATGAACACATTTGTAATCCTATATAATAAAAGCCTAATATGCTAAGTGTCCACTCAACTGGTTAGCTGCTCAACCAATCAAAGTGTAATATGCTAATGATATGCTAAGGCTGCTCAACCACTTGCTGTGATGTGCACTGACCACCAGGGGGTAGACGCTCCAACCGGTAGGTAAGCTTGCTGCTGGGGTCCAGCTGATTGGGACTGAGCTAAATGGGCCCCGATTGTGCACCAGTGGGGTCCCTCAGCCTGGCCTATGCCCTCTTGCAATCCAGGACCCCTCAGGGGATGTTGGAGAGCCGGTTTCGGCCCGATCCCACAGGCCATGCTGAGGGACCCCACTAGTGCACAAATTTGTGCACTGCGCCTCTAATTCTAAAATAAAATACTACATTATAGCTTTTGGCAACTTCTCCAGCAAAAAAATTTTAAAGAATGATTAAAATGTGTCTATGTTACAATAACTGAAGGGTTCACTTCTCATCAATTCTAAATTCTCTGAATTTCACACATATCCTAATAAAGGCTTTTAGGGAGACATGACTGATGATGATGTTTATGTACCATTTTAATTATTTATTTTCAAATAAATAATTCAGGTTGACTGGAATATTTTGTCCTAGTTTCCAAAAGTATACAAATCCAAGTTTTTTAAATGTCATTTATAAATAATCAGTTCTAATTCTGTAAAGGTATAAGATTGTCAGAGGATAATTTTTTAAATATATTTTTATTGATTTCATAGAGGAAGGGAGAGGAAGAGATAGAAACATCAATGATGAGAAAGAATCACCTACTGGGGATTGAGTCTGCAACCAGGGCATGTGCCCTTGACTGGAATTGAACCTGGGACTATTCAGTCTGAAGGCTGACACTCTAACCACTGAGCCAAACTGGCTAGGGCTCAGAGGATAATTTTGATCAAGAAAGCTATGTTTGACAGAGAAACCAAGATGGCAGCATAGGTAAACACAGGAAATTGCTGCCTCGCACAACCACTTCAAAAATACAACTAAAAGACAAAATGGACATCATCCAGAACCACAGGAAGGCTGGCTGAGTGGAAATTCTACAACTAGAAGGAAAGAGAAAAGCACACTGAGACTCAGAGGAGGTGCGGAAGTAAAGTGCAGAGGTACAGAGGTGCACGTGGAAAGGGCTGGCAACTGAGGAGGCGGTTGTCTTTTTCAATTAGGAGGGAATCGCAAACTCCAGACGGCCCTGGACTCTAGTTCCAGGTGAGTCTCTGGGGACCCAGACTCATACAGGGAGAAACTGGACTGTCTGGCAGTGGGCGGAACTCGAGGGCGGCTTCCTTTCAGTGGTGCTTGCAGTGATTACCACGGGACACTGAGACCCGGGACCTGTTAGGGCAGGACTGAGGATAAGCCATAGCTGTTTTCTCCGCCCTGTTGATTCCCTGAGACCCCGCCACACCCAAGCTGTGGCAGAGGCTTTTGCGTATGAATGACCTGGCCCTTTGCAATCTAAAATTACCTAACAAACTGCAACTGGGTCAGAGAGACCCAGAACATCCAAAAGAAGGCCCAAGGCCCCACAGCAGCTTGCATTGTTTCACAGCTGGGCCTCATCTAAGCACCTCCAAACCCCAAACAAAGAAGAGGAATCTGAAGATCTCTTCATAGCTCCTGCTGGGTAGCCTCAGGAAGAGGCTAAATTAGCACCTCCAAGTGCCACTATGCCCAGTAGTCAGAGTGGGACCATCCAGATTACAACTCCTCAGATCCATAAGGGACACACTCAGGGGGCAGATTCAGTGAGCACCAAAGCCCCACTGAAGCAAGCCTTGCCCCATAAGGGTGTCTCCAGCACAGAAGTTCTTCCACTGTAGACGCAGCTGATTCTCACAGCCAATTGGCCTGGAGGTCAATTCATCCCAGTGATACCAACAACAATCAAGGCTTAAATACAATAAGACTGTGCACAAAGCCCACAAAGGGGTGCACCAAGAGTGTCCACCTCAGGTAATTGGGGAGGCTGAGCCACTGGGCCCTATAGGACACCTAGCACAGAAAGCCACTCTAGGGAGAACCAAGATGGCGGCATAGGTTAACGCCAGAGTTTGCTGCCTTGAACAACTACTTCAAAAGTGAAACTAAAAAACAGAAGGGACATCACCCAGAACCACAGGAACGCTGGCTGAGTGGAAGTCCTACAACTAGGAGGAAAGAGAAACGCATACGGACACTCAGAGGAGGTGCAGTGCTGAAGTCAAATTCTGAGGTGCGGAGTGCGCGGAGCAGGCTGGCGGCGGAGGGCGCGGTTGGCGTTTTCAATCGGGAGGGAGTCGCAGACTCTGAGCTCCAGATATAGGCGAGTCTTCAGGGACCCAGACTCAAACGGGAGAAGCGGGACTGTCTGGCTTCGGTCAGAGTGAGTGCAGCTTTCTCTCCGAGGTTTGCAGCGGGTGCTGGGACTCAGAGAGGCAGAGCCGCTGGGGACAGGACTGAGAGCCGCCATAACTGCTCTCTCTGGCCCACCCTGTTGATCCTGTGCACCCGCCCCGCCCAAGCCCTGCACAGAGGCATTTGCCAGATAGCCTCAGGCAAAGGCTAGATTAGCACCTCCCTAGAGGACAGAAGTTCTCTCACTGCAGACACAGCTGATTCTCATAGCCACTTGGCCTGGAGGTCAAACCCTCCCTGGTATTAGCTACAACAATCAAGGTTTAACTATAAGACTGCACACAAAGACCACTAGTGGGTGCACCAAGGAAGCATAACAAAATGCGGAGACAAAGAAACAGGACAAAATAGTCAATGGAAGATATAGAGTTCAGAACCACACTTTTAAGGTCTCTCAAGAACTGTTTAGAAGCCGCCGATAAACTTAATGAGATCTACAAGAAAATTAATGAGACCCTCGATGTTATATTGGGGAACCAACTAGAAATTAAGCATACACGGACTGAAATAACGAATATTATACAGACTCCGGACAGCAGACCAGAGGAGCGCAAGAATCAAGTCAATGATTTGAAATGCGAGGAAGCAAAAAACACCCAACCGGAAAAGCAAAATGAAAAAAGAATCCAAAAATGCGAGGATAGTGTAAGGAGCCTCTGGGACAGCTTCAAGCGTACCAACATCAGAATTATAGGGGTGCCAGAAGATGAGAGAGAGCAAGATATTGAAAACCTATTTGAAGAAATAATGACAGAAAACTTCCCCCACCTGGTGAAAGAAATGGACTTACAGGTCCAAGAAGCGCGGAGAACCCCAAACAAAAGGAATCCAAAGAGGACCACACCAAGACACATCATAATTAAAATGCCAAGAGCAAAAGATAAAGAGAGAATCTTAAAAACAGCAAGAGAAAGACAGTCAGTTACCTACAAGGGAGTACCCATACGACTGTCAGCTGATTTCTCAACAGAAACTTTGCAGGCCAGAAGGGAGTGGCAAGAAATATTCAAAGTGATGAATACCAAGAACCTACAACCAAGATTACTTTACCCAGCAAAGCAATCATTCATAATTGAAGGTCAGATAAAGAGCTTCACAGATAAGGAAAAGCTAAAGGAGTTCATCACCACCAAACCAGGATTATATGAAATGCTGAAAGGTATCCTTTAAGAAGAGGAAGAGGAAGAAAAAGGTAAAGATACAAATTATGAACAACAAATATGCATCTATCAACAAGTGAATCTAAGAATCAAGTGAATAAATAATCTGATGAACAGAATGAACTGGTGATTATAATAGAATCAGGGGCATAGAAAGGGATTGGACTGACTAGTCTCAGGGGCTGGAGAGAAAGGGGTGTGGAGGGTGTGGGAAGAGACTGGACAAAAATTATACACCTATGGATGAGGACAGTGGGTGGGGGTAAGGGCAGAGGGTGGGGTGGGAACCGGGTGGAGAGGAGCTATGAGTGGAAAAAGAGGAACAACTGTAATAATGTGAACAATAAAGGTTTTTTTTTTTAAAAAAAGAAAGAAAGCTATGTTTGATCTCTGGATCAAAACCCACATAGTGTACTTGCTGTTCTCTCATGGAATGATACGCGTATGAGAAAGATTCACCAACCATATTAATGCCCTTTCCAGGGAAAAGGGGAGATGAAAAATTATTAGAAAATAGAAGGAACAGGAGGAGAAAACCTACTTTTTTAGACAGAAGAAAAATAGCATTTACCCAAGGAAGCCTTCATCCATTACCTAAATGATCAGAAGAGAAAGGAAATGATTCAAAAGAGATAATAAGAAACCAACACATTTTTTAAGCTAAGGAAGATGGTATGTTCTGTTTTGTTTTGCAAGTTCTGGATTATGAGGATGTCTACACAAACAGATATAATATTAGACTCTCAACCCAAGAGCTGGGCTTGTTTACATTTGATTCTACAGCACCTAACATTGTACCTGGCACATACAGGTGCACAATACATAGTTGATGAACAATGAACTACACTAAATGGGTTACCTAGTCTTCATGTAAAATGTAATATTTATTTTCTACTGTATATATGAAAGTTTCTATTCTATAACACTAGTCATAAGAGGTGACAGTAGTAACTCACTCATCTTTTTCACATCATTTCTACCTTGAATATAATTTAATGAGAAATAACTACTGTGTTCACTAAGCTACAAAGAGTTGAGATAGAATGTATAAATGAAGAAACCTCTTGGATTACTGAAGTACCATCTGTTACAAGCATAATTGCCTTCTTAAATTATACATTTTTAACAGGGTGTAATATATTTTTTCAAGCAATGTAGTTTTTAGTGGGTGGGACTTATATTTACATATATAAGAGTACCTAGAAATTTGGGGGATTTTCCTCTTTATTATCCAAGGGTAAATAAGAACAGGTTTTTAATATTGTGTGTTTTTTAAATGTCCTATTATTCAATACTACTGTTCCCCAGAAATTGTAGAGATTATGAAATTATTATCACTTTACTTGGGAAGTTATTTCCAGGTGTGAGAATTTAGCTTTATAAGAGCCTACCAGATTTGACCAGTAGATAATTTATTCAATAGAGACATTAAGTTAAATAGCTCATAAATTGATCTCAGTAATGTGTCTTGATTTTCTCAAAAATCTTCACCATTGTTTTAGTAACCTATAAATAGTTAATATTTGCCAACAAGTGAGGTAAATAAGGCAAAAGGAGGGCCGTCGTCCAGAGACTTTTAATGTGGGAATGTGAGAAGGTGTAAGTAAACATATGATGCTTTTGTCCAACCCTCCTGTTATTACCTGCTTCTTCTTCCTACAGGACCTACACACATGGTCTTAGAGCTCCCTGTGCAGACTCAAAAGTCTGCAGGACTGCCTGCATGAACAGCCAGCAAAACATGAGCCTCATTTCCTATGTGGAAAGCAGGAATCTCCTTGGGTGATTCTGGGACTAAATTCTGGTCTTACAGTTTGGGAATATAGCTCATTTCATGCTATTTTCATATTTATCTTGCCATATTAGACTCATTGCTTTTTTACAGTCGTAGAGTATGAGGGAACATGACTTCAGCTTCACAGTTTCTTTTCCAATCACAGTTTAAATTTGTTTAAAATGAACCCTTAATATGAGCACAATTGTCCAGGTATAAGTATTTCAACTTCAGAAATAAAGTTTATGTGTCTTATCTTACATAATTGATTATATAAACTTGATATTTTTTCTTGCCAATAGTACTAAAAGTGAAATCATTTAAATTAAATGAGTTTGATTGCTACATTTTGTCTAAAAGCGTTATTTACTCTAGTGCTGCTAGTACCCGACTTTTGCTATATAAACAGTTTTAGTATTTTTCTGGTAGGCCACACAACCTGCCTTATATTGACATGGCTGACTAAAGCTGCCTTTTATTCTGCCAACACCCTTTAAATACTATTGACAGAGTTGCCTTTCTTTGTTTCCTCCCACAAATAAAGCCGCTGCTTCTTACATCATAGGTGCAAAAAAACCTGCTTTTCTAATGGCATCAGCTTAACTAGAAAGCAGAAAACAAATGGTGATAAAATAGATGAACAGTATATATTATATTTATTTACACATATACTTAGACACTTTAGTTGCAAATCTGAAATGATATAAGCCACTGCCTGAAACAGCATCTGTTCTATAGAAATGGGGATTAAGACCTAACTATTAAGACACTGAAGAAATCGGGTTATGTGGAGAGCCCATTTGAGTCAGAACTTTGTCCAACCACTGCAATGGCCCGTGAAGATGAATCTCAATCCAGCAAGGGGTGCTCGTGACATCCTGGCGATGGTACTCAGCTCCCCAACCCTGAAAAGCAAGAGTGGAGCCAAGAGTGATTGTGTCAGACTTTGCAGTCAACCTCCAAAGGCACAAGACAGAGCTCAGTGGACACCTAACCAACACAACAGAGTAGCTCTCGAGACCTGAGAGAACATAAACTATACCTTCCTGTAAGTACAGGATAAGTTTTGCATCAACCAGACATCCTAAGATGATTCCAAATCAATGCTTTTCTTTGGGTTCACAACTAAATGCATGAACCTAGATATGGTTGGGCTCTAGTCATGTCAGAAACCCTGGCAAATCATTTTCTCTCCCATAAGGGAAGAAACTTGAACTTATGTTCACCCCGTAAGGCTGAAGACACTGTTTTGCACAAAATGGTAACTGAAGACCAATGATGGATCTGGAACTTATAAAGAAAGAACTAGAGGATGCTCTTGATTTTTCAGGATTGATTAACAAAGCTTATTCTTCCTGTTTCTCTGGCTCACTTTTGGCAATTTCCTATTTATTACCATTCATAGGAGAGGCAGCAAATCCTATCTAATAAAAGAGAAACATGGTAATTAGCGTACGACTGCTAACCTTCCCATTGGCTAATCAGGGCGATATGCAAATTAACTGCCAGCCAAGATGGCGGCGGGCAGCCAGGCAGCTTAAAGTTAACATGAGGCTTGCTTGCTTCAGTGACGGAGGACTCCAACATTCCCCACCTGCCGCTGCCGGCCTCTGAGCTGCAACTCTAAGGAACTATGTTACAAATATAGAAGCTAAACAAAACCCCAGAAACCTGCTTTAGTCCGCCCGGCTTCAGCCAGCAGGATCGCAACATTGTTTCAAATACAGAAGGTAAACAAAGGCCAGAAACCTGCTTTCAGCAGCGGAGGCCTAAGAGCTGGAGCCAAGCCTCAGAGCTAAAGCTGGCCCAGAATAAAAAAAAAAGAAAAAACGGAGAGGTTGGAAGCTTCAGTCACCCGCCAGCCTGAAAACAGCACTCAGACCCTCACCCAGACTGGCCAGGCACCCCAGTGGGGACCCCCACCCTGAAGGGTGTGTGACCAGCTGCAAACAGCCATCATCTCCTCACCCAGACTGGCAAGGCACCCCAGTGGGGATCCCCACCCTGATCCAGGACACCCTTCAGGGCAAACCAGCCGGCCCCACCCGTGCACCAGGTCTCTATCCTATATAGTAAAAGGGTAATATGCCTCCCAGCACCGGGATCAGCAGAGCCGAGAGGCCTCTGGCACCGGGATCAGTGTGACAGGGGGCAGCGTCCAAACCCCCTGATCGCCCTGCGGCTCTGTGTGTGACAGGGGGCGGGGCCACAACCTCCCTATCCGCCCTGCTCTGTTTGTGACAGGGGAAGGCGCCCCAACCCCCTAATCAGCCCTGCTCTGTGTCTGATAGGGGGAGCTCCCCAACCCCCTGATTGCCCTGCGGCTCTGTGTGTCACAGGGTGTGGCACCCCAAACCCTTGATCGGCCCTGTTCTGTGTGTAACAGGGGGCAGCGCCCCAACCCCCTGATCGGCCCTGCTCTGTGTGTGACAGGGTAGAGCCATAACCTCCCCATCGGCCCTGCCCTGAGTGTGAGAGTGGCATTGCCCCAACCCCCTGATTGGCCCTGCTCTGTGGGTGATAGAGGGCAGCGCCCCAACCCCCCCTCCACGGGCCCTGCCCTGTGTGTGATGGGGTAGAGCCATAACCTCCCCATCAGCCCTGCCCTGAGTGTGACAGTGGCGGCGCCCCAACCCCCTGATGGGCCCTGCTCTGTGCGTGACAGGGTACGGAGCCCCAACCCCCCTGATGGGCCCTGCTCTGTGCGTGACAGGGGGCAGCGCCCCAACTCCCTGATTGGCCCTGCTCTGTGCGTGACAGCGGGTGGCACCACAACCTCCCCATCGACCCTGCCTTGAGTGTGACAGGGGGCGGTGCCCCAACCCCCCAATCGGCCCTACCCTGAGCGTGACTGAGGGTGGTATCGCAACCTCCCAATCCGCCCTGCTCTATGCATGACAGGGGGTGGCGCCCCAACTCCCCAATAGGCCCTGCTCTGAGCCCGACCAGGGGCAGCACCTAGGGATTGGGCCTACCCTCTGCCACCCGGGAGCAGGCCTAAGCCAGCTGGTTGTTATCTCCCAAGGGGTCCCAAACTGCGGGAGGGCACAGGCCAGGCTGAGGGACCCCCGTCCCCCCCCGTCCCCCGAGTGCACAAATTTTTGTGCACCGGGCCTCTAGTAAGTAAGTAAATAAATAGACAAGTAAATAAATAAGTTTGTATATTTTTCTCTGTATGAAAAGTTATTTTTAAAATGACAGATTCAGTTAAGCAAATTAGTTTTGTTATTGGGAACACTGATTCTCTGTAGAGTTTTTTAAAAGTTGGATTTCAGGAGTTGGGAATTGGGATCCAAGTCCAAGTATATAGGATTTAAACCTTCTCTCAGATATGTGTAGTAGAGCTAAAGAACCAGGGGTCATCCTTCTGAAATTGAAATTGGCTCACCAATCCAGGACAAAGTTAGAGATCACAACTCAAGCATAAGTTGCCTTTTCCTAACACTGCTACAAAGATGTTTGACATTAAGGCTTGGGCTGAGTATGTTGTGGAATGGGCTGCAAAGGATCCATATGGCTTCCTTACAACAGTTATTTTTGCCCTTACTCCATTGTTTCTAGCAAGTGCTGTACTGTTCTAGAAATTGGCCAAGATGATTGAGGCCTGGGGAAAGGAGCAAAAGAAAACACAAAAATTCCAAGAAAATATTGCAAATGCTAAACAACTGAAAAAGGACTGAAGGAATGAACAGGCTCTGCAACCAGAGGAAATTCATTTGGGAAGTTATGCAGCTTTGGAAGGACCCTGTAGGGTTTCTTTTCTGGATTTATGATAGTATTTAATAAACAAAGCATGAGCATATGGAAGACGTTAGTTCTGACCGCTACTCTAGCAACTTTTGGGCTTCTGCATAGAAGTTTATTGACAGTTATTGTAAATTGGCATTTATTATGCTAAAAATTCTTTATAACTGACTTAGTCATTTTCCATTTTGCAGCTTAAAACATCCTGTGGAGAAAAAAATAAATTTGGATTATGAACTCTATTCAAATACTGGCTCAAAAAGGGGTCCTATTCCGGACAAAGGAAACTAAGAATGTAAAAATGAGAACTGTCCTGAGGTGAAAAGTGTGCTTTGGCTTAAAAAGAGATACAGCATATTAATTACATCTTTTATCATTATTGCTTATGTCTTAGAATCATTTCTGGCTTTCTCAAAGCAAAATATTATTAATCAGTGAGTACTTCACTTTCTACATTTTTCTCATTCTAGCCTTTGAGAGACTGATAATTATCAGACATTCTGCCTTTTTAAAAATCTAATTTTATAAAAAAATTCTCTCGATTGTATAGAGTACCAGCTACTAACAGTTTTGTACTTATGAACACTGCCATTTACTTGGATATGACTTGTTGAATAGAGAAACACTGTGATTTAAAGCTTGCAGTAAAAATGCCAACCCTCATAGTACTTTGGAACCAGTTTATTCTTACTCGTGCTAAGAAGAAATATGAAGTAGTTAAAATGCCTTATCTGATAATTTGCTGATAATATAAATAACACTTTTAATTTTTATTCCATTTTTTGAACTCATGTAGTGATGTCCTATAATTTCTGATCAAATAAGCTCACAATGAAAATTAAAAATTCAATTTTTTTCCTAAGGAATTCTAAAAGAGTAAGTCACATTTCATAAATGGTAAAGAAAGGCTTAACATTTGGAAAAATTTTTGTTTGGTATAATAATTGGGTGAAAAAGATAAATTATGTCAAATGAGAATGTGTTGTAATCCTATATAATAAAAGCCTAATATGCTAAATGTCCGGTCGTCCGGTCATCTGTTCAACCAATCAAAGCATAATATGCTAATGATATGCTAAGGCTGCTCAAACCACTTGCTATGACATGCACTGACCACCAGGGGCAGATGCTTCAACCAGTAGGTTAGCTTGCTGCTGGAGTCCAGCCAATCGGAACTGAGCGAGGAGCGGTCCTAAGCCATCAGTTGGACATCCCCTGAGGGCTCCCAGACTGCGAGAGGGTGCAGGCTTGGCTGCGGGACTCCCCCCACCGCCCCCCACCCTGAGTGCACGTATTTCATGCACTGGGCCTCTAGTTAGAAATAAAAAGCTAAAGGTTATTTCCTTCAGTTAAATATAATTGGACCTTTTGTTATGAAACATGGCTTTTGTAAATTCATGGTCCAATAATTTTACTCACTGTCAGTATTTAATAGCTCATTAATATTTTCCTCGTCTCTGGTAATTAATTCTAAATTACAGAAATTATCAGCTTTAATTTAAAAATGAAGGTAGATACTGATATAAAATTGGTACGTTTTTATTTTTAAAACAAAGTTGGATTTCAAACACCATGCTGCGTGATTACACTTTACATTTGTGGCTAGAAACTTCAAGTGGACCTTTGATGCCACTTGGAAATCATAGCATTCTCTCCCAGACCATTCACTCTCTCATTTCTCCTACTTTTCCACCTACTCCTCAAGCCTGCTTACAACAGATTTTCTTTTTTCCTATTTTAGTGAGAGAAATGAAGCAATCAGAAGAGAATTTCCACAGCACTGCACCCACAGACTTGACCTTTCTACCTTTTACTATAGATTATCTGTGTTTCCAAATAAGCCATCTATTTGTGCATAAGACTCACTCACCTCTGGGAACAGCATTCCAGAAACTCTCCCCATTCTTTCCTTTTTCTTTCCATCAGATCATTCCCATCAATGTACAAACATGCTGAAATGTCTTTCATCTTCAAAATACTTCTCTTGGCAATACAACCATCACAGATTACTGTCCTATGTCTTTGACTCCCTTTGTAGCAAAACCCCTCAAAAACAGGCATCTGCACTGGCTGTCTCAATTCCTCTTCTTCCACTCTTTTAAATCCATTCTAATCAACATTTCACCCAAGCCTTCAACAATATTGTTCTTATCAAGATCAA